CAATAAAAATATAACATATTAAAAAAATTAAGTGCGTCTCCTGGGGGCTAAGCCCCCCTTGTCCTCAAAACCTAGTGACACCCCTGTCAATGTGTATATTTAAGAGAATGATAAAGATTAATTTGCTGGCAAAATATGTAAACGTATGAATTGTCGTTCAAGGAGTTAAACCTTTGGTTTTGTTTTTGTAAACTAAAGATTATTTTGATTGAATTTATTTCTTTGAGAAAAAAGGGCAGATATAAGATTTTTTCTTCTTCTGCTACCTTTCATTTAATTTATGGTTTGTATTTTTGTTGTTTGTTGAATTTACGTTGTTTTTAAAGAAATGCAAACTAACTAACTTTTAAAATAAACTGTTTAAATTAATGTGCATTCCTTCTAAATCTGCGTTTTGTTCAGTTTGGTTGTATATAATAAACAGCTTTAATGTAACATTTTGTTTACACCTCTGATCATCAGTCAGTCTAACAATCATTTAGTACAAAGTTGTGTTCGATGATGATGATAGATTGATATTTTCATTTTGCTTTAATGTAATTGAATCACTAATAAATATATGGATATGGACTGATGTATTGTTACACCCCTACAGTGTACATAAAATGGATGAAATGAATATAATACATATTGTTATATACTCATAAATCTGACCTGATCCAGTTTATCACCCAAATAAAGCGGGTCAAAAGCTGAAAAGATTGGGAATAAAATGCTTGTGATGTCACTCTTTTTTGTGATAAATGCAACTGCAGTTTTGGAAAGATAATGTACATTAGTATTACTTAAAATGAAAAAAATTGTGCCCCTGAATAAGCCGTACAGTCTCTACAGCAGAGGAGCCCAAAGTGGGGCCCGCGGGCCAAATTTGGCCYGCCAAGCAATTTGATTTGGCCCACCAACAGTTGCCAAAGTTACAAGGTTGTAACCTGTTATCCTATGTAGAAACACAGTATTTCCATTGGTCAAATGACTATATAAAAGGGCTGTATACATTTATTAAAGGGCTGTATACAGCCCTTTTATATAAAAGGTATTGAAGGTAGTTTTCATTCATTGTGCTGACTTTATCTTTGATTTTTTTTTAGGATTAAACGTGAAACATGAAATGACAAGAAATATTTTGTTCAGATTTAACCACACATGTAGATTTGCGCACTTTATAAGACCACAAAAACTCATATTTTATCAATTTATAAAATGTCCCATGAGCCTTTGCTACTTGAGCGTATGGCAGACTTTCTCCAAGTGCACAGACTAAAACCAAAGAGGGCTATTGCATAGCTTAATGGTTAAAAATAAGGGACTTTACTTTAAAAAGTATTTGTATTTCATGTATTATATTACTGTATTTGGCCCGCTGCCCTGGATAGATTTTCATTTTGGCCCCCTCGGGGAAAATGTTTGGGCACCCCTGGTCTACAGTAATAATAAAGCTTCAGTCTGGAGAAAAGATGTAAAACATTTCAGTGAATTTGCTCTTTATATATTCTTTACAGGATTATGATCCAGGAGCCTTGATAAATCGAAACCATTTTCTCCCATCAGTGTGTGTGTAATGGGTCTATTTATTCTCTCACTTTTTTTAAAAAGTGCTCATGAAAAGTAGAGCGATGCAGTTCCCACAATTGTCATGCTAATGAGACCCCTCTTCCATTGAAAAATCATTTTGTCAAGATCCTCCCTCTGTGAAAGCAGAGGCTTCGTTTCATCTTTTTCCCATACATCCAGCAAATAAATGATTATGAAGCTCTAATAAATACCAACAACAGACAGGGTAGAGCTAAGATAAACAACAACAACAACAACAAAACCACATTTCAGCTCCTCTTGTCCTTTTTATCAAAGGGTAAACACATTTTTTCTTATGATGCACGTTTTATTAGTAAATTTAAAAACATGCTTTTATTTAAGTGCAACAAGTTTTGAGTCTAGCCTAGACTGTTTGTCATTTGGCCTAAAACTGTTTGTGCTATTTTTGCATTAAACAGATAATAAAATAACTGAATGTAACTGCAATGATTTATGAAAATTTTTATATGAATAGGTGAAACTTTTTGTGCACAAATGCCGCCAGTCAATAAAAGCCTCTTGCATGAGTGAAAGTGGTTATTTTGCAGCCATTGTGCTGCACTCAGAACTGCGGTGGGCTCAGAAGAGACCACCCACTTCTCAGTTTGTCCACTTCTGGTCAGCGGGTCAAACCCAGTTACGCTGTAGCGGGATATCAGTTTTGTTTGCTGTATTTATATATTAAAAAAAATAGTTCTGTTACACAAAGATAAGCTTTCCTTTTCAGCCCGGTTTCTTAAAAAAAAAAAAGTTCTGGTGTTCTAATCCAGTATTTCCCAAAGTTGGGGTCGGGACCCAAAGTGGGGTCCTGAAACATCAAGGTGGGGTCCTGAAAAGATTTTCTGAATTAACTACATTTTTGCCTTAGTTGTTACAAATGAGTGAGGTTAGTGTATTAAAAATGGATAAATGTGCACAAAAATATTTTTACAATGCCCATGTTTTGTTGACCTGATACAAATGTTTATCATCCAAAAATAGTTGGGGGCACAGGTCTCTGCTGCTGTTATTTTATGGGTCAAAAGCTGAAAAGTTTGGGAACCACTGCACTTTGGTTCCCAAGGTTGGGCTTGGGAACCAATTATGGGTCATGAAGCACCTTCGATAATCTCCAGAAATAAATTTAAAGGGTAATAAAAATAATTGCTGAAGGAATATTTTTCCTATA